CTTTTCTTAGGGGTGCTCTAGTCAATTGGGTGTTCAACTCCTATTCCATTCAACTTTTCGTAGGAGAAATCATTTCACCTATGCAGGTGCTTTTCCTTTTCTAAGACTCAAGTAAAACTATTTTCCTCTATTTTCCCCTAATTAAGAAACGCTTCCAAGCATAGGTGTGTACATAGAAGCGGCCATCCTTTTTTTCTCTGCGTTCTATCGGTAATTTTTACAGGTGAGGGATGCCCCTCCCCCTCCTCCCCACCGCTCCCCAAGTTCACTTCGTCGGCTTTTTCTTGCACCTAACTCATAAGCACACAAAAAGCGTTTTTTTATTCTTTGAAAAAAGGAAAGTTCTTCAACAAGTGAATGTAATTGATTTATCAGTAGTAATGCACAATTTTATGAGAACAATTGAATGAATTGCAGTGAGATCAAAAGCATTTACCAACATTCAACATATACAATATACTATATCACAGTTTTGTTTACATCGGAATTATAAGATGAGATCTGCCGTCTGCTCAATGGGAATCACCGCCGCACCCAGTTGGGGGCGGGGAATGAGAACGAATCTGTAGCTGTTCTTCGTAAAGCCAGAAAGGAGTCGCCTCAACCAACGGATATTTGTCGGATACGTTGGCCAAGACGGCATCCAAAAGCTAAGGCACCAATGGGGTGAATGGAGATCACCAGGGTTGAAGCTGCGTCTCAGGTCTTCTTATGGATCAACGGATTGGTGACTTCGTCGTCGTCATCGAGTCGCAGACTTTGTTCTTTCTTCAGTTTGGCCTCATGTTTTTCACTCATCACCGGCGATGAGATGATGACACTACGTCGTCGTCCATTTGATTCGGTAATCATCGACTGGCCACTGTCAGTGATGCGGGTGAACTGCAAATATTCAAATTCAGATAAATATTCGTTTATGGATTGAAAAAAGGTAGCTAGAGGAGGCGTTCACTGTGCTTTGCGTCTCCAAAGTCTGGCAGTCTCTAAAGTTGGCAGGGGCTTTGCCGGTCTAAGTTACTGTTCTGAGCTAAAGATAAATGTTCTTCTCCAGGCCTAAGGGAGGAGTCGACATCATGAGCCCAGGCAAAAAAGTAAGCTGAAAAAGGGTTGGCTAGGAGGTGACTTTTGTGCTAGACATGGGGGACAAAGAGCATAGTCAATGGAGCGGAAGCGCGTAGCCCCTTGTCTTATAAATTAGGATTAAATAAGTTTTAGCTCATAAATACCACCTTTCCAGATCCGAACGCTCAAACATCTTCATCTACGCTTTTCATATCTTTTTCCAGAGAGCTATTACGACTAACCACCTTCCCCATTCGCTGTTCCCTTTACCGATGCGTTTCCCGTCCGTAGTTTACGGCTGATCCACAAAGGAAATGGTCCCTAATATAAGTTGGGTCCTTTGCTGGATCATTCAGTCGATTAATTATTTTATCAGATTTCTTGCTCTAGGTACAATGACGTGACCCGCCTACAATTTACATTTTCCCGCAAATTTCAATTCATTTGAAGCACCATTTTCGCGTAGCCTGACCTCACAAAACTTTCTCTCTAACTTTCAATTTTCTTTTGTGTTTTTGTAATGTTTTCTCTCTTTGTTCGTGTTATTGTGTTATTATGGTGAGCGTTAATGCTTCACTCAGTTCATCACCCATTCTTTCTCTTCCCATTTAGAAGTATCTTCAGACAAGATCCCTAAAAAATACGTTTGCTACAACAGTGTATATGAAACGGTAGAAAGGGCGAAAGCACTTTATGTTCTTTTTTATGCGTGTTTTCGAGTTTTTGATTAATCTGGTGTTCGTGAACTGTGAAACGGGGTTCACTTGTAGACTTCTGTGCATAAAGAAAACCCGATGATTTGGAAGTTTCGAGAGGGAACGTGGTGCTATGTGGGTTGGGGGAGGGGGAGGGGCACGCGGCGGCGCGGCACTCGTCTGCGCTCTCTACAGCGAGATAGTAGAAAAGGAAGAACAGTCGAGCCCATAATGGTGTTTAAGGACGTTTCATAGCTTTTTTTT